GCCGTGCTCCGGGGCTGGAAGCAGCAGGCGCGTTCCCAGCTGCCCTGGCCGCCTCACTGCCGCCCTGGGATCCCGAAAGGCTGCAGCTAATACCCCAACACGGGCAGCTCGCGTGGGAAGCCGCGTGGTTTTCCTCATGGCCTTTCACGGTGGCTCTTTTCTGTGGGGATCCTTTCTTAGCAAATAAGTTAAGAAAGTGGATCTTGCAGTTTAGCTGACAAGAACCACACCACGCCAGTGTCTTGCAAAGGTAACAGGGACGTTGGGCTTCAGGAGTGACACAGAAGTCTGGCCCCAGACTATGTCAGGACTCTCTTAAAACACTGAGCAGATGCCCCCTCTGCATCCCCCCACCCGCCAGGCCAGCATGAGCCAGGGCACTGACCTCCATGCCAGAGTCACTCCTTCAGGCTGCTCGGGAGGGGCCTTCTCGTCCTGCCCCCTTGCCCTTCTAGTGCAGTCTTCCCTTCACAAAAGCCTCTCGGCCCCCGGCTCACTCATGATTGGTGTTTTATAGAGAGCTCGTCAGGGCTAAGTCCCCCTGCTCTAACCACAGATTGCCACATGGATCACCAGCCTAGCCCCTCACTGCATACAGGCCCTTAGGGGTCTGGCTTGAAGGAGGGAGTCTTTACAGGGACCAGCGTGAGTGAAATGGGACAGAGCCATGACCAAGGTGCCAGGGGCCCACGTGTCCCAGTCTCAGTGCAGCGTGGGAATCAGGTGGTAGCCAGGTTCAGCCCTGGCTCCGGGCCCACACTTGCCGGGCAAGGCCTTCGCTGGTGGTTGAGCCTCGGGGCAGAGCGTGTGTTGGGAAATGATCCCTCTGTTATGGGTTTCGGATGTGGAGAATGTTCCCAGAGCCTCGAGGTGCAGTGTTATCCTTCCTTCTGGCCCCGGTGTGTCACCCGCTCTCTGAAGGAAGGTCCATGTGTTCGACGCCTGCTCGATGTCCTCACATGTCATCGCTGTGGACTCTCAGAATCCAGGGCGGAGGTTTGAGCAGTTCAATGAGCAAATTGGGCAGAGAAGTGGCAAGAAATGGCCCTCCTACCACCCAGGTTCTCGCCGCGGCAGAGCACCAGTGCGGGCACAGCAGGGCCATGTCGTGTCTGTGCCAACAGCCCTCTCTCCTTTAGAGACATTGCAAGAGCATTTTGCACAGAGAAAAAGACCCATGAATGTCATCTTTTATCTCTTGTTTTCAGTTGGCATTTTTGTTCTTGACACACACTTGTAAACCGGTCTTGCCAGGACACACGTTGTTTTGCTCTTTCACTACAGTTACCTCTGACTCCTCCTGTCTCGACTGCTGACGTTCCTCGACTATTCTGATGTCTGTTTTGTGGGAAGCAGCCTTCCATGGGGTTCCTTTTACACACTGTAGGGCTATCTTTATACTTAAAAAGGGTTTTTTAAAGAAAACTGTCACCTCCTGGGGGATTTGCAGAAAACCATTTCACCCACCTTGAGCAAAAGGTAGATTCCTCATTATTTTCTTAAAAGCTCAATGTAATAAAAGAAATCTAATTTAGCATTGTTGTGCTACCTCAAAGGTAAAAATGTCTTAAAGTCTCTTTTTGGTCCTGAGTCTATACATGGTGTTTGAAATGTCTTTCAATTGGAATTATTTTTAAATCATTGGGAAGAATTTTATTTTAAACCGTTTCACTCTTGTGTTTTAATCTTAGAAGAAGTGATTGGAAGTGATTGATTCTTGCTCTATGGTATTGAATACAATTAAATCACTGTTTGCCATAAACAAGGTTGGGTTTTTAAAAGGGAAGCCCTGGGGCGTGGCTTGGCTCTTGGTTAATAAAGGCCGGCAGGTCTGTCTGACTTTACAGTGCAGCCGTGTCCTGTGTTTGTCCTCTCGCTCCAGGGCTCCAGGCCATCCGGTCACTCATTTGGCAGGGGGCCTGGCCTCCGGGACCAGGCTGGGTCGGTGCCCCGGGCCCCACCTCACCTCTGTGCCGCCCCTGCCCAGGCTGCTATGTCAGCGCCCACTTCGCCACGGACCAGCTCCCAGTGCTGTCCCAGGTCCATGTCCAGGAAGAGCCGGTGTCCCCATTCCAAGGCAGTCAGATGGATGCCCTCTTACCTGGGGAGACAGACTCTATTGATTTAAATGGTAATCTCGAGTCACTCTTACAGAAAATGCCCAGATAATGTTTGACCAAATGCCTGGACACCCAGGGCCTAGTCAAGTTGACACATAAAAGGAACCACAGCTCTGAGTTGCTGGGGATGGGGTGCCCCGGGACCCGCACATCCCTTGCCCGGGAAGATGTGCTCCCGATGGAGCCCAGCAAAGCCACCTCAGTATGACACTGTTTATTTCCTTCTTGCAGCGTGGCTACCAGAGCCAGCAATGACCGATAGGCCACTGTGCCCACAGGTCACCAAAGGAGCTCATTCTACCACAAAACCGTGTTCCAGTGTGATCTCACCTACACCTGGCAGTACAAAGGCCAAATAGCGGGTGTCCCTACAAAATACCCACGTGGGGCCCCAGAAACTGGTAGTTGAACCCTCAAAGCCAAACTGGCCTTGCTTCAAGACTTTAATTACTTAAATATGGTCTGACCTTTGTGGTTTTTGTGGTGGTATTGCTATGAACAGGTAAGAAATGTCAGGCAGCCTGGCCAGCATGGCTCAGTGGTTGAGCATCAACCTCTGAAGCAGGAGGTCACGGTTCAATTCCTGGTCAGGGCTTGGTCCCCAGTGTGGGGCGTGCAGGAGGCAGCAGATCATGATTCTCTCTCACCATTGATGATTCTGTTTCTCTCCCGCTCCCTTCCTCTCGGAAAGCAATAGACGTGTGTTACAATAATAGATAAATGCCAGGACAGCCCCGGGAGGTCAGGTGGTTGGAGAGTCCCAACGTGCCGAGGTTTTGATTCCCAGTCAGGGCGCCTAGAAGAGCCAACCGATGAATGCATACAGAAGTGGAACAAATCTCCCTTCATCTTTCTAAAATCAGTTTGTGAAAAAACAAACAAATGCCAGGACAGCCTCAAGATCATGTTGTCCGCAGTCTCAGCCCTAAGGAGTGGACGTCGCATGAGGTTTTGCTTCCTGTGTATGTTGTGACAGGAAGCTAGAGATTTGTTCTATCAGAGTTACCTGAATGGATCCTCAGCTGTCTTATTGCATCAGTTTTATAACAACAGAATTAAAACAGTCACAACGTGGTTAAGGAAATGGTTTCACAAGGCATCATGGTAAGTGTGAATGTTGCTTCCCTTGCTCATCCTCCCTGCAGACAGATGCCCCATCACCGGTGATGGCCAGGAGTGTGTACTGTTACCTAATTAGGGGATATGCAAACAGAGTGTAGTGTGTCACCCAGGACTGTACTGGACAGCCAGCTGTGAATTCAGACCATGTTAACGAGGTTCTGCATTAGGGTGCCAGAAGTTAGGTCTGGCTCAGCTCGTTTGTTTAGTGAACAAATCTCGATGACCTGCCATGGACATTCCGCACTATTGACACCCCTGGAATCGGGACTGATGTACAGCAGTCACTGAGCAGCCTTGGGCCCTTCCTCGAGCGCTGTTACCCTCCATCTCTCTGGGCGGAAGCGGACAGCAGCCCCAGGCTCCTAGTTCAAGGATGAGCCTGTTGTTGCCCTGGGCCATGCTGCTCTTCTCTCTGGGCTGCTGTGGCCTTGGGAGAGTGAGTGGCTTTTTATGTTGTTTTATGTGGTGGTTTTTTTATTGATTGTTTTTGTAATCCTCACCTGAGGATGTGTTTCCATTGATTTTTAGAGAGAGAGGGAAAGACAGAAATAATGCGAGAGAAACACACCGATTGGTTGCCTTCTGCACAAGCCCTGACCAGGGCCCATGCCAGGGAGGAGCCTGCAACCGAGGTACATGCCCTTGACCAGAATCGAACCCGGGACCCTTCAGTCCGCAGGCCAGCGCTCTATCCACTGAGCCAAACCGGCTTGCTGAATTATTTTTTTAATGTTTTTATTGATTTTTACAGGGGGGGGAGAGAGAGAGAGAGAGAGAGAAACATTAATGATGATGAGAGAATCATTGATCGGCTGCCTCCTGCACACCCCACTGTGCCCTGACTGGGAATTGAACTGCAACCTCCTGGTTCATAGGTCGAGGTTCAACCACTGAGCCACACTGGCCGGGCTTTATTGATTCTTAGAGAGAGGGACGGAGAGAGAGTAACATCAATGAGAGATCGGCTGCCTCCTACACACTTCCTCCAGGGGGTCAATCCCACACTCTGGCATGG